CCCCAAAACCCCAAAACCCCAAAACCCCAAAACCCCTGTGAGTATAAATTTTTGAAAGGAATGCGAATAATTAATAATTAGTGAAAATAAGTGAAAACTAATATGAATAAACAAAGGAGGCTGAAAAGGGGAAAGAAACCTAAAACTAAGGGGCCTATGAGCAAGAATATGTCAGTAGGTGATGGGAGTAAGCAAGTACAAGGTAGGGGTTCGTTGATGCATGGGTTTGGATAATGGTTTAGGAAAAAGAAGTCCATCTGTGGTAGAAGAGATCAAAACTCAAGGGACTGACTATGAAGGCCCGAATTGTACATGGACTGTGGAAGAGTTGGTCGAGCATTATGAAAAACAGTATTTAAGCAATGATACTTACTCTTTTGTCACTATGAATATTAGGAATGCTCCTGATAGGAGCATGCTCATGAGTATATACAAGGCAGTGGTGAAAAATGGAGGATTTAGGACTGTGACTGCTGAATGTGGCTGGGAAAGCATCCATAATGACCTCAATCTTAGTGATAAGGTTCAGATATTCGAGTTGTATAAGACCTATCTTTTCCATTATGAGAAAATCTTCAATAAGGAGACAGCGCTTGCTTTGGATTTCTACAAAGATGGGGTATCAATAGAAGACCTTGATCCTGACTATCTAATCCCAGTGAAAATATTTGAGATGAACAAGCCTGAAGACCTGACTCAGGAGGTTATCGATGAGATACTTAAACAAGATGTATGTGTTATCAGAAATTTTGAAAAAGCCACTGGGTTTAATAAGAAGATATTTGATCCGGAATATTTCTCCAAGACACATGCCCAAGCCAAGATTGATATTGTATGTCAGGATCCTGAGATAAAGACCTTCAGAAGAGCGAAGAATATTAAATAAATCTACTGTACTAGGAGAATTCATCAAATACCAAAAAGAAGCCCATGTGAAGGATGAAAATGGAAATATAAAGTTCGCAGTAAACATCGATATTGGAGATTGGAAGCCTCATATGGACGAACTTGTGTCTAAATTTCCAGAGGAAATTCTATTTGGATCTACTAAAGACTCACTCCAGTATGTTAGAAGCCATATTTATGGCATGACACTACCCCAGATATATATTAAAGTCAAAGGCTCTTGGACTGGCGGCCATGAAGAGAATTTAAGATACAGGGCTGCTAATATAAATCATGGTCCAGACTCTTCAGAATGGAATTGTGTTGGAAGCAAGCATTCACATACACTCAGAGAGATCGTGAGGGATACGTACAAGACTGATATTTATAAAGACGAAGGCCTCTGGTATGCAGACGTTGACTTCTGTCTGGCCAATAGGGTTCCAATTGTCTCATTTAATCAAAAAGAAGGCGATGTCGTCCTTCTTGGTCCAGGATGAGAGCATTGGGTCAGAGGATTTGGAAAAGCAGTACAAACAGCATGGAATTTTGGGACTTATGATAAGTGGCAGATTACTCAATCAATTAAGAGGATGGAGGTCAATGCTAACATTAACTTTGGGGTGAGTCCTTAGTCTCATTTTTAGTCTATCGTTCCAAACTGGACATTATTACTAGATTTAGTAAACCATGAGCTGCCTTGTATTGACAATGACTGACTAAAGTAAGGCTTTAAATGACCCTATAGGATAATCTATAAGGAACTCAAGAAGAAAGTGGAGCAAGGGATTATTGAGAGAGAAGCTTTAATCAAAAAGCTCTCTTCTGGAAGAAAGAAGATATCCATTAGTTTCCAAAAAGAAAGTGATGAGTCAAATATTACCCAGTGCTGGGGATGTGGCATTGATACATTCGACTTCTACATATGTGAAGGGAACACTAAGAAAGATTTTGCTAATTACAGCTATTATTGCTTAAGATGTGCTAGTGCTGAGAGGATGCTTAATAAGCTAAGAGAGCACAATAAAAGATACGAGTTTTATTATAAATATGAGCAAGCTCAACTATCAAATTTTTTCAAAAGGATTGAGAGCAAGCTTACTTGAAAGAATCCAAATAAATATCAAGACAGTGGAATCCAGATTCCTCTGCTAACTAAGGCTGATTGGCCTCAGCTAAGAACGAAGGAGGATTTGGAAGAGGAGGGCACTCCTTGTATTTTCTATGGGGATTCGAAAAAGAAGCAGGTGAAAGATGGTATTTCAATGACGAAGTAAGCTCATATTCCTATTAATTTGTATCCGAACTGTTTCATAGAAGCCTCCATTCCCTGAGACCTTGTCCAGGAAAACAGGAGATCAAGGAATCTGAGAATGTCAAGACCTGAGCAGGTCCGAAAAAGATGAAGAAAAGAGTTAAGAAACAAGAGAGCAAAGAAAAGGAGAGTAGCTCGTCACAAAATGTGGAGAATGAACAGAAGAGAGGGCGAAACTGTTACACTTCAATAGTGCCTTCTAGTGGCTCTGGTAAGTTTCTTCATCTTGGCCTACCCCTTCTTGGCATTATTCTTAGCTATTAGAGCCAAAGTAGGATTTGCTGAGTTTAGGGTAGCACTAATCCAAACAGAGTGGCAAACTTTTATAGAAGACAGCTCAGGTTTGATCCCAGCAAGAGTAGCTAGGAAGGCCAAGCTGAGCAAGGATAGAGTCAAGAAAGCTAATGCAAAGAAAAGATCTAAACAAGTCAGAAACAAGTAGGTTATAGTTTTGATATTTTTAGGAAGACCAAGACAGCTGTTCTGAAGAAGTCTAGTCAGTGGAGAGGCAAAGGAAAGGTGACCAGGAAGATTAGTAGCCACTATGAAGACAATTGCTCGGAAGAAGGCGCTTATGAAAGCGAAGTGTAGGAAAGTGGCGGGTTCTTAATTTTTTTGTTGCATATATTCAATAAATTAAGGATTTTGAGGGGTTTTGGGGTTTTGGGGTTTTGGGGTTTTGGGGTTTTGGGGTTTTGGGG